CAGCGAAATATTTCACTGAAGGCTTATCCTTTGTTTATTTATTCGTTTTTTTAAGGATTCTTAGGCCCCCTTTTGTCTTGGGACTATCCATGTAGAAGGTGTTTTGTCTGGAGGCGCCACTCTCTCTCCTTGCTGACAAGATGGCGCTTCAGCATTACAGTTTTCTCACAGTTCACACATAACTTCCCGATTCAGAGAAATCTCCGGGCGTCTCATGCCCTCACAGAGGTTTCTTCTGTTCGGATTGGAGTTCAGCCCTGGAGGTCAACATAGTGATTTTGTAATATCCTGTGTAATGTGTGGGCGTGAAAGGGAAGGGAGGAAGCCAGAGAGAAGAGTCAGAACTAGAGACAAGGCCGAATGAGAGTCCTGAAAATCCGGGGCAGCCGTGAAGGGTGGAGGCGTGGCTGAACCCGGAGCACAGCTGCTTAGCATTTATATTGCTCTTGATAGGCAAAAAGTGATAATAAACTTGTTTATCAGTTCATCCCCACTGTAGTTCCATGGGAAACCCTGGTGGCCTAGTGGTTAAGAGTTCAGCTGCTAACCAAAAGGTCGGCAGTTCAATCCACCAGGTGTTCCTTGGAAACCCTATGGGGCAGTTGTACTTTGTCTTAAAGGGTCGCTGTGAGTCAGAATCAGCTTGACGGCAACAGGTTTATAGTCCCATTTATAAATTAGCATCTTTTAAACATGTTCTCAATTTATAATGACAAATATTTATTAAGGAACGACTAAGTATTAGGCACAGCCCTAGTAACTGGGGATATTAAAAGAACTAACATATGATAACGAAGAGTGCTCTTTTTTTCTTCCTTCCAGTTACAGTGGATGAAGGCAAGGGTCTATCTTTTAGCGAAGGCCAGCACTTCTAGGTCCCATCCCCTCACCCTCTCAGCAACTTTATTGTATAGGTTATCTCCCTGCCTTTCTGTAGCTTCATCTCTTGCTTCCTGTTTGATCTTTCTTATTAACATGCAAAGAAAGTACCAAGAACAATATAGTAAACAAACAAACAAAAAAATAAATCCATTGAGTTGATTCCAACTCATAGCAACCCTATAGGACACAGTAGAACTGCCCCATAGGGTTTCCAAGGAGCAGCTGGTGGATTCGAACTGCCAACCTTTTGTCAGCAGCCAAATGCTTAGCTGCTACACCACAAGGGCTCCAAGAACAGTATAGTCGGTGCTCAAGAAATTTTTGGTGAATGACTTGAATGAACGCGCAGTAATTTTCTACCCAAGCTCCACGTGGGAATCAGTTCGGGAATTTACATATACATGTATGTACATATACATACGTGTGTGTGTGTGTGTGTGTGTGTGTGTCTGTATAACTGGGCCCCATCCCAAAGATACTGATTTAATTCTCCTTAGTATGGGTTTTGGGCATTGGTATTTTTTTAAGCTTCTGAAATGAGTCTAGCAGCTAAGATTAAAAGCCACAGTATCTCCTATCTGAAAACAAACAAAAACAATTCATTTGACTTCGTATCCCCCTCTAGCTAAAGCAGTCTCTTAATTCTCCTTCCCAGCCAAGATAACTGCAGAGGCCTGTGTGCACTCTCTCTACCTTCTCATCTTTCTACTGTTCTTACCTTCTCGTCTTTCTATTGCTCTTCAACTGCTTGAGAAGGCTTCAGTCCCCAACCCACCCAAGATTGCGTGAAGCAAATCTTGATTATGAGATATCTGTGTTCCCAAGCACACAGGCCACTTCCAGCTCTCGTCTTGCTCAAGCTCTCAACAGCTTTTGGCACAGCTGACCTCTCCCTTCTTCTTGGAACACTTTCTTCCCTTGGCATTTGAGGCAACCTATTCCTTTCTTGGAAACTCTGGTGGCATAGTGGTTAAGAGCTACAGCTGCTAACCAAAAGGTTGGCAGTTTGAATCTACCAGGCACTCCTTGGAAACCCTATGGGGCAGTTCTACTCGTCCTGTAGGGTCTCTATGAGTCAGAATCGACTTGACGGCAACAGGTTTTATTCCTTTATTATTTCCTTCTTTCTCTCCCCTTCTCTTTCAGCCTCCTTGCAATCTCATTTTCTTATCTGAGTCTTAAGTGCCGAAACTGTCCAAGCCCCACAACTGGATCCCTCTTCTTTTTACTCTTGGCATTTTCATCTTTGCATCTCTGTAAATAATATCTTTATGCTGTTGACCTCCTAATTTATATTTCCCACCCCATCCCCTTTTCTGAGAGCCAGGCTAGTATATCCAACTGCCACTTGTCCTTTCAACTTAGATGTCTCTCAGGCATTTCTAACTCAGTGTGTCCCAAACTGACATTTTCATTTTCCCTCTCCAGCGTGGGAGCCTCCACCAATCTCCACATTTCAGTAAATCTCATCTCCACCCACCCACTGGCTTAGGCCAGCAAAACAATAGTAACCCTTGTCCTCTATATCTGCCTTACTCCCAACCCAATCCATCACCACCTACTGTTTAATTCTGTCTCCAAAACAGAACTCAAATCATCCATTTCACTCCACCCGTTTTGGTGCCAAGTTACCATTTTCTAGATTGCGCAGTAGCTTCTAACTGGTCTCCCTTATTCCATTATCACCCTCCCCCCATAGCAATTCATTCTCCAGGCAGAAACCAGCTAGAGTGATCTTTAAAATATATATATATATATATATATATATATATAATTTTTTGTCACTCCCCTCCTAAAAACTTTCAACAATGAACACTCAATAGTTACATTGTGTATGATATTCTCTCATTTCTCTCAAGGAAAGCATGCCATTTCAAATTATAGATTCATTTGTATAGTTATTTGTTTAATGTTCATTTTCCAAATGGACTAAGGGTTGGAACTAGGACTGTCTTTTTCATCATTATGCCTATTCTAAGGAGCCCTAGTGGTGCAGTGGTTAAGCACTTGGCTGCCAATTGAGAGGTCAGTGGTTCGAATCCATCAGCCACTCCGTGGGAGAAAGATGTGACAATCTGCTTCCGTAAATGTTTACAGCCTTGGAAACCCTATGAGGCAGTTCTACTCTGTCCTATAGGGCCGCTATGAGTCAAAGTCGACTCAACAGCACACAACAACCACATACCCCATACCTGACGTAGTACCTGGGCTAGAATTTCACTGGTGAATGCAAGCATTTGCGTCTAGATGGATAAGAAAGATTATCCAGTGCGTGAGGTGGAGGGGTGCCTTGCCAAAGCTCACTTAGGACGTTGTACTGAGAACTCAGCCACTGCAATGGTAATTGTTCTGACTGGATGAATGGACTGAATCCTTTCCTGAAATCATTTAATTCCATTGCCTAACTTCAAAATCCAAGGAATTTGCCAGAATTGTGTTCCCTGGTGGGCTTCAGAATCCACTAGGTCACTGAAATGGACATTTTCAGGCTTGGCTTCAAATCCTGGATCTGTCAGTTAGGTAGCTTGTGATGTTAGGCCAGCCACATCATCTCGCCTGAGCCTCGGTTTCCTCATCTGTGTAATGGACACGAGCCTGATAGTATGTGAAGTTGTTACAGTTTTATCAGGTGTTAACCTGTCACCCACCTAGAACGGAATCTGGCATATGGAAGGTAATGTCTCGATTTTAGTTTCATTTTCCCTTCCTCCTACCTCCATTCCTTGACTTATTTTGTTCTTTTTCTGTTTTTTTCACTTGTCCTTTTGGCTTTTTAAAAAATCTTACCTTAGTGAGAGCTACTGCTCATAGTTTGAATGGTGTTGGAAGAACTAGCAGTACTTACAGAGCAAACTTCCTTTTGGATTAGAAATAGAAACTTCCCAGCTTCTCAGCCCAGCTTTTCAAGAGCATTTTACGGTGCACTGCTGTGTCCCAAGTTCATTTTCGGATAACATGCTGGGAGGGAGAAAAAGAAGACGAGATTGGAGAGGAGAAAATGAAATCGTTAATTAAAAGAAACAACTTGGTAATTGGATTCTCTTGCACTCTTCTGCGTTTATTCGGCGGTCAGCAAGTTTGCTTCAGTGACTCACCTCAAAACTTCTAAATGAGAGGAATATGAGAGTATAGAGCAGATCTCTGACTGACAGATGAGAAGACGCGTGGGATATACCTGGTGGCCTTTTTAGGCACGCCAAACAGAGCTGCCCTCAAATGCACGCTTGAGCATTTTTATTTGGAAATATTCTTGGCAGCTGACATCGCAGTTTGCCTAAGCCCTGGACTGATATCAGCCCTGCTTAAAAGCAAGCAAAATTCCCCTTTCATTGACTCTGTTTGTTGGCCATTTCTTTGTCCTTCCCACGTGTACACACCCACAGGGATGGACAACTGCCGAACACCATAGGCAATTCCTTTTCAGACTGTACTGTAATAACAAATATATGATATGGGTCTTTGTTTCTCATTTTTAGAAGAAGCGTGGAGGTTTCTCTATTTAATCATTATCACAGACCACTTAAAAGTCAACATAGTTGATTTGTGACATTATCATTGAGAGAAAGTTCTGTTTGGACCTAGGAGTCAAGTGGAACTAGGTTCAAACCTTTGCCATCCACAACCTTTATTCATTCATGCAGTTGACATGTATTTATTGAACACCTGTGCCTGCCAGACACCATTGAGGTTGCTGGTGATAACCTTATGCAAGTTATACTATAGCTTTTATTAACATCAATTTTTTTTAAGCTCTGAAAATTAACTTCCGAGAGAGACTTTTTTCAAGCAATGCATTCTCCTCACTCTTGCAGCAAATTCATTGAAGAAAGAAGCACGTGGTTAAACAATGTATCACTTTATTCACCCAATTAGCCTAAATCAGATGGCTGATTATGTACCCAATCTCCAAATCAACTTCTAGAAAACAAGAGATTTACTACTTTATGTCTAAAGACATTCTAGTAACTTTCCCAAAGGGTTAAGAACCATTGCTTTGGGAAACTTCATGGTCAACCGGGGTCATGTGTCAAAAGAAGTAAATGCAAACACACATTTCATCAGCATGATAAAGATGAAGCTTTTTGTGAGTACTAAGAAGGGGCTTTGTGTTTTCACAGGTTATGGTTTTGTAGATTTTGACAGTCCCGCAGCCGCACAGAAAGCAGTAGCATCTCTCAAGGCAAATGGCGTGCAGGCACAGATGGCCAAGGTAAGACTGGTGTTTGGATTCTGTATTTTTTTGTTTATTGTTTCCTTTTGGGATAAAATATTTCTCTTTTGCTCTGAGATGACTCAGAAATTGAGTTTACAACAATTTGGACTGTGTAAGGAAAAAAAGAAATCCCACAATAGGTTTGGCTTGGAAGACTCTTGACTGGTATATTTCATTGTTTCTTTGTGTCTTTATTAATGAGTTCTTTTGTTATGGGGAAACCCTGGTGGTGCCGTGGTTAAGAGTTCGGCTGCAAACCAAAAGTCAGCAGTTTGAATCCACCAGACGCTCCTTGGAAACCCTGAGGGGTAGTTCTACTCTGTCCTGTAGGGTCGCTATGAGTCAGAATCGACTCGACAGCAATGGGTTTAGTTTTCTTGTTTTTTGTTATGGTACCCTTTTTAGTAATTTAAGGGCACTTATAAAATGTTTTGCCTGGAAATGGAGTATTGTTTTTTTGTGTGTGTATGTGCGTGTGCAGGTGTATCTAGGGTTTTCACCAACAAACGGTTTTGGAGTGGTCCAAGTTGTTTTTCATGAACAGTGTTAAACAATAGCCCACCTTCATGTTGATGAGACCTAATTGTTGAATGATGAGACTGTCCGATCTGTGCAGGAAAATGAGTTTCACTATAGTGTGCCTTATCTGTATTGCTAGAATTGTACTTTAGACTTTGTACATAGCATTTCCTAGATAATAATAAGTTGCAGTGCTCATTTATTAAAAATTGCAGAAGAAATGTCTCATTTTGGGCAAAAAAATTTGAAGAGAATATTTACTGTCTATTTTGCAGCTTTTGATATAGTCAAGAGCTTGTATCTGAAATTATAACACATTTTGTATATCCAAGACAATGAGTAAACTCATTTATAATAGTTTTGTATCCTACGTCCTAGTGGTTATAGGAATTGACACATGTAATAAAATGACATAGAACTATGTACACACATTCTGCCAATGTCAATTTCCTGGTTTTGATAGTTTCCTAAAGTATGTCAGATGTAACTGTTAGAGGAAACTGTAACTATGTAAGATGTAACTTAGGGGAAACTAGATGAAGGGTACATTGGATATCTCTGTGCTACCTATGCAACTATACATGTTCCAATAGATATATAATTTTTTTTTTAAGTTAAAAACCATGATAACATATGGATGCTTGGTAGATATTTGCTTTAAAATAATGGTTATATGGGATTTGTTCACATGCAACTTATTTTTAAAATATTCTTCTTGATTACTCAATTTACTATCTCCAGATTCTCAATATTTTAGGTAAAATAGCCAACTGATCTCAAAATCCTGACCTTATGTGTTTATGTCCTATTAATATATAAAATTATCCTTAACTATTTCCATAAGACCTGAGTGATATATATGAGTAAATGATGAAGTTGTCAAATTTACAGACATTTGGACTTTGGTATGATTGCAAGCATTCTCTGATAACATTTTCCAATTTCAACTTCAGATAACTAGAGATGGGATATTTGGTTTCTTCCAACAACTTCGGTTGTCTTATAGCATGGTGGTACTGCTCATATCTGTTATCCTTTTGCTGGGGGTCACTTCCCATATAGATTACTTTGGTGGAATGATTGCCCTTTATGACACATTGATTGTTTTTCAAGGTGGTATAAATTAGAATTTGAACTCATTAGGCTGTGTGATGTCTTCCTCATCAGGATTATGCCTGGAAGCTTTGGATTGGTTAACAACTCAGATTGATGGAGTTAATATTTTTAATTAATAAGATAATTACATAAATGCCTTGGTTAAAAGATTGCTTGGCAAAGATTAAGTGACAAGTTTATTAAGTAGTGACTTTCATACCCGAGGAACAAATGATAAAGTAAAGTTGTTAGGTATATGCAAAATTTAAATCTTGAATAGGAACTGAAAGGTAACACGTGTTGATAAGAAAATTATTATAAAAATGCTTAATTAAAAAAAATGTTATTGGAATGTCTTTGATCTTTTCTATTGGTAAATTCCCAAACTTGAGAAATAGCTAGATTGCAGTAGTATGGGAGTAATGACTACAATGTGCATTTTCTCCACTGTTTCAGATATTCTCAGATTAATGTGTGTGTACACACACACACACACACACACACACACATCAGTCAGTGACCCCTCACCTACGCCGTAGGCTATCAAAGGGAAATATTTTAAATAGCTTACTGAAATGAACAATTACTTCAGCCTGGATTTTGGCCCTTGGCATATGCCCAAGATACAGAGTAAGGCGATTCAGATTGGAATGTTTAAGACACTTATTTTATGTCTGTAATTGCTCAAAGATTTTATGTTTATCAGTTCCGCTGTCGGTGGAGTAAATTCTTCTCCCTTTTCTTGCGAACTTTGAATCTAAAACTCAGAGCTTTAAGTTCACATCTGCCTACTGGAAAACTTTCAGCAGTAAATGGCACTGTAATTTAACTACCCGGAAGCAAATAAATAGCCTGCCTTTGACAATGAAATGGAATAAACTTTACCACCTGTATTAGCAGATTTCTGACGGAGCTATTGGATTTCATGGCCTTTTTTTTCCCTCTTTGTCCTGGTGATAACTATTATTTATTATCATATAAACCTGCAGTCTGCAGGGTGTGTGAAACTTGCACTGTATTTTTGGCCATTTAAATATCTGCTGAATCACCTCCTGCATCCTCATTTTCATCAGTATCCTACCAGGCAGGTTGCAGTGCCACATTTTAATGACTCCAGGATCTTAAGTCAAAAATGCTACAAATAACCGAGGTTCCTAATAGCAACCCGGAGTGAATACAGAACCCTCCCAGAGAATCAGTTTGTCGAGCTGACTTATTCCTGTATGAGCATATGAAAAATTCAACTGATCTGTCAACTAAAAGTAATTTAACAATAAATCATCCAGTAAGTGGTAGTTGATTAATAATGAATAACCATTGACACAGACTCACATTTTCTGTATCCTTGCTGTTCTGCCAAAAAGATTTTTAGGGACCACAGGATATGTTTCCTTTAGAAGAGCAGATTTAGAATTGGTTAAGAGCATATGTTTAGAAGGAGATAAACTAGTCCTGGAATGCTGGCTCTGTTACTACCTGGCTATGTGACCCTTGCTAAGTTATTTAAACATATCTGACACTCACTGATAATAATACCTAGGTTATAATATTGTTATAAGAGTTAATAAAACAATACCCAAAGAAGTCAGCATAATGCCTGACTTACAGTCAAATTTCAATAAATATTAATAACTCTTATTAGTTGTTGTTATACATTAAGTTCAAATATGCTACTGAGCCTTCTGTAAATTCTAATGTATAATTTAATTGTTATTTTACTGAAAAATCGTTTCTTGAGGAATACAATAAATAATATCAGCCAACAAACATTTTTATATGCCTACTATGTGCTAGGCGTTGCTCTCCGTGTTGGAGGAACATCATTGAATAAAAACTCTTTATTATTCTGAATTTTTAACATTTAGTCTTTCACACGGGGTTGTTACAGCTCTGGATTCAGTATTTTGGCTGTTCCTGTTTCTTCTTGCCAACCCCAAGGTGACTAAAAGAAAGTCCTTGACTAAGGAATATTATTAGCCTGTAAGCATAAAAAGAAAAGAACTAAGAAAAAACAACTAACAATAGGTTTTTAAACTTATAGGTGTTTATTTTACTCAAGTAACAAGAAGGAGGCCATAGGTAGGCAATGGAGGGCAGATGCTTAGGAGTGTCATCAAGGAACAAGGCTCCCTTCATTCTCTTGATTTACTATCTTTAATGAATGACTTTCATCCATCCATTCACGTGTTGGCTTCTACAGCTCCAATTATTATATCCACATTCAAGCCATGAAAAAGAGAAAAGGGAGAAAGGCTGAAGAAGCATAATGGCTGGTTCTGTTCTTTTCAAGAGTTTTCCCAAATTCTAATCCAGCAACTTGTACATCCATCTCAACGGCCAACTGAGTCAAGTGGTTTCCCCCTTAGCAGTGGGAGATTCTGGGATGATGAGTATTTTAGCTCCTTTGCCTGTGTAATAGGGAAAATTAAGAGTAGTTCATCACTTTGACCACCCAACATCTATGACACCACTCTTCCCATACATACATTTTGAATGGCATGCCATCATTCTTTCCCCAAGGGGGCCCACCTCAAAGCCTGTTACCACATCCAGCGATGCAGTCATCTCTAGTAGGTGCAGACATGGACAGCTGATTCTAACGGTTCAGCAACCCATAACGTTAAAAGACAAGTTATCTGCCCCAAGACCCCTGGTATAGAATGATAGAGAAGCAACAGGATTTGTGGATTAAAGGAATACTACCATCTAGGAAAGGAGAAAATAGGAAGCAAGCAGAAATCATTGGTCCTTAACACATTTAAAATCCTGATGGGCAGAAACAGATTTCTTGCTTTGTTAGTGCATTATGTTCCTTGGTTAACCAATTGCGTAAACCCTGCATCTGCTTATAGAGGGATTTTGCCCATTATTCCCCATGACCTCATCGAGGCCTCACTTAAGAGCTGCATAGCTCTATAAACCAACTTTTTTTTGGTGTAAATTTCAGAGGCTCTGGAATCACCCTATTCATTGAACCAAAACTTATTTTCATAGAATCAATTCTGACTCATACTGACCCTATAGGACAGAGTAGAACTGCCCCAGAGGGTTTCCAAGGAGCAGTTGGCGAATTCGAACTGCCGAACTATTGATTAGCAGCCATCGCTTGTAACCACTGCACCACTAGGGCTCCATTTATTGAACGGTCAATGATTATTTCCTGCCAAAAGCATCAGTAGAGTTACCTCATACACTTAGCAGGCCTGTTTCTTATTTGCTTTCTGGTTGGTCATCCACATGAGTGAACATAATGCATCACTTTCTATCTGAAAGTTCCACAAAGAAAGAATACCTCCACTCCTGAGGGTCTTTAGATAAAGTCTCATCATATTCACAATCAGGCCTGACATTCCAGTTCGCAAAGGTGATTCACTGGACTGTGG